AATTATATTTTTTTCCATAGAGAACTTTGCACTTGTAAATGTTATACATTGCTGTTACTTCGTCTTGAATTTGAACCCATTAAAAACTTTTTAAAATCATATTGCTTCCGTCTTCTGTAATACTGTTTTCTCCATTTTATGGCATCTACCTCATAAGTGAAAGGGTTGATAGGTACCTGGCCCAGGACTGAAAACTGTAGCACCTCACTTAATCCCCTACCCCAGTAAGTAAGCACCGATAAGTATTCTCCAAGTGTGGATTCACTTGAACATTGTGCTTTCTAACCAAAGCTTTACTAGCTTGGTAGTCAGAATGTTCCTCTAATATTTTACTGAATCAAGATATTTTATGTCTGCTGCATTCCCACGATAAAAATAAACAAGGAACTCATTTGACAAGCCTTATTCTTAATAAATCCATTCTAGCTTCTAGCTATCATTACACTGTTTCCAGTGGGTACAAATCAATTTTTTATGATCTACAATGATTACCGGGGTTCTCATACAATGAGAAAATGAGGATACAGTACAGGTAGTCCTCAACTTATGAGCACAATTGAGCCCCAAATTTATGTTGCTAAGTGAGACATTTGTTAAATGAGCTTTGCCCCATTTTATGACCTTTTTGCCACCGTTGTTAAGTGGATCACTGCAGGTATTAAGTTAGCAATCTGGCTGTTAACTGAAACTGGCTTTCCCATTGATTTTGCTTGCTAGAAAGTTACAAAAGGTGATCACATGACCACAGAACACTGCAAGCATGGGGATATTATTATGGTTGTTAAGTGTGAAAGTGGTCATCAGTCACTTTTTTCAGTGCCCTTTTAATTTTGAATAATCTCTTGTAAATTGAGTACCTGTATCTACTTTCTCTATACCACTCATATCTTTATGCACTTCTATCTCATTCCTACACACCCAGTGGTGGGATTAAATTGTTTTTACTACTGGTTCTGTGGGTGTGACTTGGTGGGCGTGGTGTGGCTTGGTAGGTGTGCTTTCCAGCTCCGTTCTCCTGTGCAGGGCAACAAAAGGAGACCCAGCCAATCAGCTGGGACTCGGGAGGCAGATAATAGATGGGGGCGGGGCCAGTCAGAGGTGAGATTTGCCGGTTCTACGATCTACTCAAAATTTCCGCTACCGGTTCTCCAGAACTGGTCACAGCTGCTGAATGCACCACACCCTCATCTAGTATCTTAACTTAAGAGGGAGAAAAAAAGAGAATCTTATTTTACAGAAAATATTATTTCAGCCGTTAGAACAACATTTTTTACACCTTTCCCAGTTTACCTTGCTGAGTGTACTGATCTGAACTCCACAGAGCAGTTCAATATTTGTATAGGGAGATTACAACATTGGTAAATTCCTGTTTATTTTTTCTCAACATGAAAATTATCTTTTTCATGGCTTTGGGATTCAAGGCTCCAATCTATATTGAATTGTGAACTGTTTCAAGAACCATCAAGACTTGATTTTCACTCTTTCTTCCAGAAATCATCTAATTCTTTACAGTGTGTTATTCCTGTCAAGGTAACTTAGTAGGTGTTATAAAACAACTAGCTTGTTGTTTGCTTTATGCATCATCCTTAAACGCTGGCAAATGCTATGCGATTTGAAAAAGTGCATATGTAAAGTTTGAAATTCTTTTCATTCAGTATATTTGGAGAAACTTTGTAGCTGAATAGGTGTTGAATTCTAAAGGGCTCCCCCCCCAATTAAGCATGTCATCATTTGTCTCTCTATCCTGATATATTTCCATGGTCAGGGTGTGCTGTTGTTCATGGTGTTTGAATCATGAATAGCTTGTTTGTAGAATGTCTGCATTTAAGTATGATATCAGTTTTCACATAAAGGCAAAACTCCATAAAAGATTGTTTACATAACTCATTCTGCGTCACCTTGGCGTAAGGGTTTAATTATCTGACATGGCAAACAGATATGATCACTGCTTAGGTTTCAAATATGATGCTAAACCATGGTTTGCCAAAGAACAATTGACTCAATCGCATCAAATGGTTCACTGCCTCGTTATTTCCTTTTCCAAATCAATCTCTTGGCCTATCCTTTTCAGTTCTACTGTGGGTACTGTGTCTTGAAAGACAAAATTTGCTCCCCATTTGTTATTCCCTCATTATCATCTTCTTGACATAATCTAGCCATGCAATTAAACATCATTACTGACACTACTGAAACCACAGCTACTGATTTCTGGCTCTGTACTTCAAAGATGTCCTTCAGTATTTCCAATGTTATGAGGGCTCATATAATTTTGTATGTCTTATTAACCACCATGAAACCAGGCTTGTATTTTTTTTTTCCTTTAGAATCCCCTCTAATTTCCATTTTCTAAAAACATATGCTATGAGCTAAGATAGCTAAAATAATTCTGGCTTCCATGAGAACTTATTTATTTTTTATAATTAATTCCAAAACCTTATAGTAAAAGTCAATATGTTCCAAATTTAACTGAAACTTTAATTCATTTGTAATTTACTTAGATCAAAATCATATCCTTTTTCTCTTGTTCAGAGTTGAAACTAAACTACTTGGTGACTTTTCAAACTTGTTGTTCCGAAGGTATGATAGCTTTACGAAGGTTAATAAGCAAATTCTGAAAGGCATTAGAATGTGAGGCTTGCAAACTTTTGTGTCTCTTAAAACACTCTGCCACAGTTGCAGGCAAAATGGCTAATGACCCTTGTTAGGGATAACATTGTTTACCCTAATTGGTTTGGGTAAAAATAATAAATATGGTATCATGGTTTGTTAGTTAAAGTGTGTGTAACTTTAACTACAAGAATGTAATTAAGGGTGTGGTTGTAAAAGCACTATATAAGAAGCGAGGCAATTGCAGCTCGCTCTCTCTGGCTTGAAGATCCCTAATTACTGGATGGATTGATGACTGCGTTCTTGCTGGAACGGGGAGAGAAAAAGGAGTGTTGATTTTCTCAACGGAGAGAAGATAAAGATTGGACTGATTTATTGTAAGTGAACTGACATTGGCTATTCAACACGGACTTTGCAAATAGAGTATCCCCGACAAGACTTGACTGAAATTGATATATGATTAATGGATCGTTTATTTGACTATGCTATAATTCTTAAATGGAATAAACTATATTTTTGATAGTACAAGCGTATCTGTATTTTTACTGTGTGTTAACTAGAAAACTTATCTCACACATTTACCTGTCTTCCTATCTGACTTCGCTGCACGTTCTGTTTAGTTTGCTTTCCTTAACACCTGTTGGGGAATCCAGGCTTAACAACCCTTCATCTCCCACTGCTCAAATCCATGGAAGGTTACTGTCCCATGGCCTCTTTACAAGCCACAACTGTCTGGAGCATACATGGGCAATCTCCTGTCTTCTCCTTGTTCTAGTCACCAGTTTTTTAGTCTTTGATGAAGTTGTCATCTCTGTTTTTGCAGAGACATCTTGCCTTTACAGGTAACATAAAAACCTAATTTTATTTTATACAGAATTGTAATTTATATAAATTGTAATAAAGAATCCTTATCTATGTTAGAACATATACTATACTATACTTTGGGTTGTTTTCCACCTCAAAACAGAAAAAGTTACTTGGTTCTTATTACCTGGTCACTTCTCAAATTGACTACTGTAATGTGGTCTACATGTGGCTGCCCTTGAAGAGTATTCAAAAGTTCAACAGGAGCAAAATACAGTACATGCTTAACGTGGGGTTTGAATTCACAGTCTCCTGCTTTCTAGCCTGGTACCTTAACCACAAGACCAAACTGACTCTCAATTTGCTTCCAGGTCAAGATGTGTTGAACTTTAAAGCCTTATGGGGCCAGGTTATTTGAGGGACTCTCTCTCCTCTGTTACATCTACCTGTCTTGCCAAGTCCAGCAGGAAGGGCCCTTTATGGGTCTCGTCCGCTGAAGAGCTCCATCCGTGATAAGGCCCAGGAGGCAAACCTTCTCTCCCATTTCACCTGCCCTTTGAAACATCACCCCTCCCCCAGAAGCTCCAATCCTATTTCAGAAATCCCCTAAAACTTGGTTCTGTCAATCAAGGGATCCCATGGAAATAGGAACCACATAAATTGACTGTTTTGTATGAAAGATCTTGAGGGAACTCTTCCCATGGCTTGGTTTATATATTTGTTTTTAATATTTTTTAAGGTTTTAATTGCTTTATTTAGATTGTGTACATGATACAGAGTTACATACATGAGATGGCAGTTACATATATTTGATAAACGAACAACTATGCTATCTATTTTTGGAAACCCTGGAAATAACATCTGGGGCCACAAAGTATGGGATCAATAACTATACATTGCCACAGGGCCACTAGGATGTCCACCCCTGGTTTAGCGTGTTGTGTGAATCCAAACAATTGTGTTCTATTCTATAAAGTAAATCATTTCTTATTCTTGTACAAGCTCATCGTTAAGAGCTTGTTTCTCCGGCATCAAAGCTATGTACTTGTAAATCACAAAGAATGTTTTTGATAATACACAGAGTGACTTTTTCCTGTAATTATTATCCACAGCCAGTTTCCTCTTTCCACTGGTACCTTTTCTTTATACATTTCCAAAGTGTATACCGTTTGTGCCAACCTAAAGTTACCAGATATTTTCAACAGTTGGCAACTTTTAAGAGGTGTAGCACTTCAGCTCCCTGAACTCCACAGCCAATAATTCTGGGAGTTGAAGTCCACAGCATCTTAAAATGGCCAAGGACTTCAACTCCGAGAATTGAAAAAAAAATTTTTTTGATATAGATACCATTTGTGCAATAGGCAAAAATGTTTGCCCGGCACAACTTTCATTCACTTTCTAAGAGATGGCTCTTCTGTCATAAGGCCCAGGCCCATCCCGCTGTTAATCCACCTCATTTTCAGGATCCACAGGTAGTACAAAAAGTCAGGACTACTTCTTGGATGCAGGTAGGGCCCAAAGCCCCCGTCTCCCCTCTCGCGCCCTCTTGCGAGGAGGGCCCCGCTTGCTCTCTCCTCCCTCTGGGGCGGGAAAGCGGGCAGCAAGGGGCGGCGCCAGGAGGCACCCTTAGCCTTGAGGTATAAGCCCGGTAGTAGTTGCTCGTTCTTTCTGTTGCCCGCCCCCCCTCAGCAGCCGCCTCCGTCTCCCCTCGCTATGTTACTTCGGCTCCGTGTCAGCCTCTCCCTCCTCCTCCTCCTCCTCCTCCTGAGCTGTGGGACGAGAGGCCAGGAACAGGCGAGCAAAAGCGAAACTCCTCCGCTCCAGATTGAAACCCTGGTAAGTGTGCGGGGCGCGCCTGGCTTTGCAAGGCACCGACGCGCCGTTCACGCCCGCCGCCGCCGCTGCTGCTGCTGCTGCTGCTACTCCGCTACTTTGCGGTCAGGAGCCGGCACGGCTCGGGGCCTCCGGCTGCTTAAAATGACAGCTCGAGGCGAGAGGACGCCTTTGCCTAGCCCGGCAGCAGGTCCAGGCTCTCCCCTCGCGTGCGAATGCTACGCCTCGCGGGCGAATTGGGGAGGGCAAAAGGAGGTGAACCCTCTCGGGACGGAGCGTCTGGACGCGCGCGTTTCCAGGAGGAAAGCTGCGGTCCCCGCGAAGCCTTAACCAACCGAGGAGAGAGAGAGAGGACGAGCAGCCGGCCGCCCGGCCGGCAGCCCCACAACCCCCACCCCCATCTTCTCTCGCTTTTTTCTCCCCCGCAGGTGGCGTCTCCTGTGGGCTGCACCGAGCGCTCGGCGACAGGCGACACTGTGGACATCCACTACACAGTGAGTAAAGCGGGAGCGGGGCGGGGACGAGAGGCGCGTCGCCGGGAAGCCAAGCCAAGCCGCACGAACACGTCAGCACAGCCTCCTCCCGCTTGAGAGAGGAGGAGGGGGAGGGGGGGTTTTCCCCCATGATAGTGGGCGGGGTTTACGAAGGCTCCACCTTCTCCTTTCGGGTCGAGATTGAGGAGGAAGTCTCGAAAATCTACTCTGTAGAGTTTCCTGTGGGATGCCCAGAGGCCCCGGGGGGGTGGTGTCGAAGGGGGGCAGGGTCCGACGGGTTTAAGGGAGCGGCCTTCCAATCGTGTGGCGTGGGGCGAGGCCCAAAGGGAGGGGCAGCTTAGTTCGTGACCTGCTTAAACCGCACAGGCCCTCTGGAAGTTTTGGAAGGCTTTATGCCCAACGCGTAGCGGCCATTGTGTGAGAATCACATTCCATAGGTTTCTATATTGCCTTACACCCCCGTAAAATAGAAGGGGGGGGGGAATGTGTGGCCCCCCCAACTTATGGGTGACACCTGCCACCATCTCTGATCGTTGGGTTTATCAGCTGCGGGTCCTCTTAAGAGGAAGCGGGCTCCCCTTCATTGGGTGTGTTCGGTGGAAGTAGAGAGCCGTTTAACGACTGGAGAGCCTCGACTTGCTACAGTTCGTTTAGTGACCATTCCAAGTCACAACAGCACTGGAAAAAAGTGACTTATGACCAGTTTTCTCACCACCGTTGTAGCCGCTGCATGGTCATGTGATCAAAATTCAGACACTTGGCAGTTGACTCATATTTATGACCGTTGCAGTATCCGGGGGTCACGTGATTCCCTTTTGCGACTTTCTGACAAGCGAAGTCAATGTGGAAGCCAGATTCACTGAACAGTTTGACTAATTTAACAACTGCAGTGGTTCACTTACCAACTGTGGCAAGAATGGTTGTAAAATGGGGCAAACTCACTTAACAAATGTTTTACTTAGCAACAGAAATTTGGGGCTCAATTGTGGTCATAAGGTGAGGACTACCTGTAGAGGGTTTGAATTTGGGCAAACTGGCTCTCTCGGCTAGGAAATGGAGATGAGCACTGCCCCCTAGAGTCAGACATGAATAGACAGAGGAAACCTTTACTTTTACCTGTGTAATTTGGATTTCTGCATGAGCCAGGATAGGATCTGGCCTAAGTTACTCCTTAAACGTTTTAATTCCTTGAACGTTTTAATTCTAGGAACATCTGATGGGTTTTTCAAATAAAATCATTCATTCGCAGCCCAACTCACCTCACAGGGTTGCTGTGAGAAAAATAGTAGGAAGAGTATTGGGTATGTTTGCCTCTTTAGTTGAAAATAAAGGGCAGGATAAAAATAAAAAAATAAAATAAAAAAACCTTGACAACTTTTAAGATTTTCAGCTCCCAGAATTCCCCAATAGAATGCATCTGGGATTTGAAGTCCACGCATCTTGAAGTTGCAAAGTTTGAAAAGCACTGGGCTGTAGCTTTCTCAGCTCTCCTATATGCCGTGTAGATAATCCTGTGTCTCTAAAGATTTCTAGCCAAAGCTGATGGAAGTGGCTGTCGGAATTGGGTGAGTTGAGGTGTCTGTAATACTAATGCAAAAAAGCTATGCCAGTTAAAGGCGCTAAGGCAGGTGTAAAGTAGGCAAATGGATGAAAAGATTAAAAATAGAACAGTCTCTGCTCTGGGAAGGCAGGAAACCCATCTTATCAGAGTCCAGTAGCGCAGATTTTGCCCATACCCTTTTCTTTTTATGCAATTATGTAAAGATGCCTGGTAACCTCTAGTTTAAGTTGCTGCAATTCTTTATGAGTGGAGATATTTGAAGCTAATGTGGGAAGTCTTGGTTAGTACAAACTGTAATTACTAGTAGACTTTAGCCACAACTAGTCAGAGTATATTGTGCATCCTTGGAGTTGGCTTTATTTTGAAGCATTTTTTTTATCACTTGTTACCCAGAGATCTACAGAGTAAGAGTTGAAATCATCTTCAGATACTTTATCCTAACAGGAAAATGGCCAGTTCACTCCTCGGGGGCCTCCTATCTTTGTGCCCCGAGCCAAACTGAGATAGTGGTCCAAGTATCAGTATGTTTTTAAAAAGGTAATTTTTGCTCAGAACACCATCATACCAGCTTTTAGTATGTCTAATCATCTTCTGAAAGAAAGGGAGCATGATTTACTTCAGTGGGAATTAGCCATCCATAAATTGATTACATACTGTAACTTTGAATATGAATAAAAACTATTCTGAATCACCCTGCTCTTAAGTTGCAGGAAATGCTGTTATGAAAAAGAGGAAAAATGACTTCTGCTAAAATGGTACCCCATGCTTGCATACAGTCTTTTTGCTTTGAAGTATAATAGAAAATCAAATTGCCCTACATGAAGTTGCTGTCCATACTTTTTCATCATGGAACATAATGATATTTCATTTCTTGCAAAGTTGCAGGTTTCAGCACTCTTTTGATTTAAAACAAATCAATTTTGGACAGGGCAATTGCTAATTGTCATTTGATGTTATAAATATGCACACGTACTCTTAATTTAAGGAATTTTTTTTAAAACAGGGTATTCTCGAAGATGGTCGCATTATTGATACCTCACTCTCCCGTGATCCATTGCAAGTGGAATTGGGCAAAAGACAAGTCATTCCAGGTAGACCTCTGTTCTTTATCATAAGATGCTTAGTTTAGCTGAGGAACACACCAAGGAAAGCAGTAGGGAGAGAGAGAAAATCTGTGCCCACAAACAATCTTTGATCAAAGAAACATACTTGATACTGTTTCTTCACTAAGTAAGTATTTTCTCACTATGCCACCGTTCATATTTTACAATTGCCACAAATGTAGAGTTTGAGTTTCTTCTCACTTGTATGTGGCTATGGCACAAACATGCTCCACCAACTTCTTTTTCCTGCTGTGTCCTCATGAAATTGATTTCATCATTTGACCCCAGCTTATATCTGGGAACTTTTTAGTCATCTTTACCTGTACCATTGCTGAAGTAGTGATTTCCTCCCTTATCTTCCCAACGCAGAGTTTGCTCTGGACACAATCTGACATACTGTACTTTACCAATTGTTGAAGTGGTGCACTCAGTTGACTTTTGGAGATGAGATTAGCTCAAATTCTCTTGTTAGTGCAGATATTCTCCTTCCCTTCAGCACACTCATGATGGCAGTATGAAGCTGTATGAAGTGGAGCGAAGGAGACAACTTTACATCTGCTGCTTCCAATCCACACCTTTTAAATACTGTTCAGGCTGCTTTTGGGCATGGGGTTAGCGCTCTTTTGAAATATCAAAAGGAATGGAGCCTGACTGTAGCTTAAAAGTCTTCCATTGAATGGTATCCATGCAAAATACTTGTATTATATCACAGTAAGTTTTGACAAATGGCTAAATTTGCTGGTCTAGCCATCAGGCAAAACTCATCTCCTTCCCAATTCCACTCAATGTTATGCTGACAGTGGATGCTTTCCTGTTGAATGTTGGTGTTTGGTAGGAAAGAAATGGAAATAAAGCCAAGGGTATACACCAATTTATTTCCCCTTAAACGGTTCTGTATGGCTTGAGTTACTACAACAGCATTTGCTGACATCTTGCCTGTAGCTGACAAGGAGTTAGCACAAATTTCACTGGTATCTTTTTATGCTACTTCAAGGATTAATGGAAATCACTTGGCCATGAAGAAGACCCAAACTCAACGTACTTCCAACTGTAGGAGGATAATTTCAGTTGAAGATTAGAATAAATATTTAGTGATAAAAGTGTTAGACCCCGCAATCTGGTTTTGTGCTTTCTTTTAGAAGACTTCCAGCAGAAGCTAACTACAGTGGTCATCTGTGGGATTGTGTAAGATTGTGATTGGCATGTTCTATATATGTCATTCTCTTTGTCCTAGGCTCCCAACTTTCTTTCCTGCCTGTACTATTATTATTTTTAGTTTGATACATTAATCTCAACCTGTGTTTTGGTAACCAAACAGAGATTTATTATTTTAATATGAAGAGCTCCTTTTATAGAAGATCTGAATGTTCTAGGGGAAAAACAGACTTCTAATTAAGTTCTTTTTTACTCCCAATTCAGGTTTAGAACAGGGTCTGCTGAATATGTGTGTTGGGTAAGTACTCCCAGTAAGTAACTGGAAATCTTCATAGGTAGTTGCTATACTCAGGTCAAGCCTGCAGCCTTCTTTGTTTTGAATTCTGTTGAATTATCTGTGAAAAGGCAAGATGGACTACAGTTTCCAAGGGACACAAAAAGTACTGTCTGCATTCAGAGTATTTGCTTGTTCAGACCACAGTGGAAAAACTCTGGCCCTTTAAATATAATGCTGCAGTTGCCAGCATTCCTTACTAGAGACTATATTGCTAGAAATGATGGTACATGGAATTGAACATCTGAAAAACAATATATATATTATAGAGATGGGCATCAAAGCGGAGATGCTGCTAAAAAGGCAGTGGATCAATAGAGGCTGAAAAAGTGTTTGCAAGAACAATCACAATAAAACAAAGATTGTACACCAAGAGTAATAGGCACCTTCGGTGCCATCCCAAACCCTCTGGACCACCACTTGAATACCATTGACAAAATCACCATCAGTCAACTGCTGAAAGCAGCTATGCTTGGAACAGCTTATATCCTACAACAGTGCCTTTAACAAACAGCACCTGCCTATCCCAGGTAGTTGGGAAAGACTCAATGGGTGGTGGATAAGAATGCCAAATCCTGTCTATAAATATCTGACAGCTCTTTGATCAATATTTTAACCACATGCTGCCCAACTCTCAGCAACTCTGGATTGCTCACATTTGTTAAACGAATTGCAAGAAAATCAATAAAAAGTAAAAGAGGACAAGCACAATGAAGTAAAGGCCAAAGATAAAGGTTTGGGGGATAACAGGTCAAGTCAATCTTGACACTTGGTGACTGCCTAGACAAATCCCTGCAGTTTTCTTGGTAAGATTTCAAAAGTGGCTTGCCATTGGCCCCTTTCTAGAGCTGAAAGAGAGGGGCTGGCCTAAGTTGGCTTTGTGCCTAAGGTGGGACTACAACTCAGAATCTCTTCCCAGTTTCTAGCCTGATGCTTGAAGATTAAGAGTAACAAACTGGAATATGTGCGGAGGAAAACAAAACAACGTTAAGAGGTTTGGAGGACAAAATGTAATTGAAAAAAATCTCATTAGGTTTCTTTCAGACCTTAATGGAAGCTCTTGCCAATTCTTTCTGGTCCCGTCTTAACATTCAAAAGTGCTCTAGGCCTTAACTTCAAGAATTCAAATTCAAACATTGTGTTCCAGTTATGTAAATGTCACTCCACGCATAAAAACAGGCAAACTAGTCAGAAAAACTGGTCCAGCGTGTCTGCTCAGATTTTACCAGGACTGCTCCTCCCCTCCCCTCAAGGACATAGCTTGCTTTGCTGAAGGCTGCAAAGCTTATTCTCTCAGTTGTCAAAATCCCACTAAAACAAAAAAACCTTGTGCACCTGCATCTTATCAGTACCCACCTGACCTTTACTCATTTTCTTTTCCGGCAAGGGAGAAACGAAGAGTCATTATCCCTCCTCACCTGGCATATGGCAAGCGAGGTTCTCCCCCAGCTATACCAGGTATGATTCATATATCAGAAATTATTTAATGGTCAGTCAATCTACAAGGGCTGGAGGTAGCCAGATATTTAGCACCGTATGGGCAAGGATGTCCAGTCCTGTTGCTTTGTAATATTGATTGGACATGCTATCTCTGGGCCAAAAAAGAGAGATTGGAAAGGAATTGATTGGGAGCATTTAGGAAGTAATATTGTAAAGCCACACCTGTGCTGCAGTTTTTATTTTGTAAACCAAGGGAGGACTTAAGAAAAAAAGTGTTATAAAACTCTGGCAAAGAGGAAATGCAAAAAAGGATAGCTCAGGAGTATCACTGCATGCAAACATAGAAACTCAAAAATAATACTTCTAGGTTTAGTTTGCCTTGTGGAATTGGGTATTATGTATAATCTCTTAGGATCTTTTAGGTGTATTTCACAGATCTCATTTCTTTCCAGCTGATGCCGTTCTGCAATTTGAAGTTGAATTAATCCAGCTCTCCAGAGCCAATTACTGGCAGAAGCTATCCAACGATATACTCCCCTTGCTAAGCATTGTGCTTGTCCCAGCACTGCTGGGACTGATTGGCTACTATCTCTACAAGAAAGCCCAGATGCCCCGAATATCTAAGAAGAAACTCAAGGAAGAGAAGAAAAACAAGATCAAAAAGAAATAAAGTTGTTCTTTATCTTTTTCAATATTGTTTCCCAGTGGAATGTGTGTGTAGGTGGGGAGTGCTCACACTGTTTCCCACATGTACACGGTATCTAAACAACTTCATTAGACATAACTCTTGCACAAAAGGCCAAGGATGGGGAATTGGTTCCCATCATTGCATAAACTTCATTGTATTGCCCTTTAGATGTGAGATCACAACTACTTCCTTCTAGCCAATGAGCTTCTAAGAAGACTATTCATGAAGCTGATCTAATAGTTTGCACAAGATTTAATCATGTAAGTGGCACAGAAGAGTGATTTTGAGTGTTTTTTGCACACTTGACTTAAACATGTTAATTAAAAAAGTCACTGTATGGGGTTATATAGGGCATCTATTAATCATACGCCCTTATAGGATAGATTTTACTTAAACATTCATACTTAAAGATAACTAAAGTTAGAGAATGCTTTACAATTCCTTGGGTACATTTAATAAGTGCCTGAGAATGATAGGAATTTGTCCAATGGATTTAAATGGTAGCCTAACCCCAAAGGGGACATGGTGGCTCAGTGGCTAAGACACTGAGCTTGTCAGTCAGAAAGATTGGCAGTTCAGCAGTTTGAATCCCTAGCACCACGTAACGGAGTGAGCTCCCGTTATTTGTCCCAGCTTCTGCCAACCTAGCAGTTCAAAAGCATGTAAAAATGCAAGTAGAAAAATAGGGACCACTTTGGTGGGAAGGTAACAGCAGTCTGTGCGCCTTTGGTGTTTAGTCATGCCGGCCATATGACCCTGGAGACGTTTTCAGACGGCGCTGGCTCTTTGGCTTTGTAACGGAGATGAACATCGTCCCCTAGAGCCGGAAATGACTAGCACGTATGTGTGAAGGGAACCTTTACCTTTCACCCCAATTACAGTCCAAACTTACACTGCTCTAATGGCCATTCCATCTCCCACGAAATCATAAGAACGTATAAGGATAGTGAGAGATTAATATTACTGCCCTGTAGCTGAGACAACTACATCAATTAAATTAGTATAAATCAAGTATAATTTGTAAAATAGACAAGACCTTAGAATAAAGATCTTCTTGGCGGCTCACAGGCTGTGTTCTGGTTGCGAAGGTGTCAAAATAATCTCCTTGTTGGGTTTCTTTAGTAGCTTAGTAGTGATTCCATCCATGGAGCCTACTTCCCACCTTTTCATATAGAGTATTTCAAGTTCTTGAAAGGGGAACTTTAAACATAGCATATAACAGGTTTGAGAGGAAAAAGAGAATATGGTAAGGAAAAAAAGAGCTTTATTAAATGTCCACGCTGCAAAGGCACAGAGACAGATGTGTTTCAAAGTTTACATGTAGGCATGAGGTATATCTTCAGCTTCTGTTGTACATGCCTCTGGATTGGATTGGCCATGGAAGAAAAAGCCGCAAGACACATCAGTTACTATTTAATGGCAGTTTGGGGGAATTTTTCTAACAAGGGCCCAGCCTAGACTGTAACTAGAATGGACTGGCTCTTCTTTGTGCCCAACAGCTGTGTTAACACAGTAGAAAAGAAGTACTTGAACTCACCAAATGCCGATTCAGAGGATATGTGAAACTTCATGTGCTGCCTCTATAACATTATAGATGGGCCGCTTGGCTTGGGACCCTCCGGCAGGTGCTGCCTGAGACCCATCTGAGACAGTTGTAGGTTGGTTAATGATCATCAGAGGATTGACCTGGCTCAGGACTTCATCATTCACTGAGATGCCATCCAAGTACTGCTTGAGAAGATGTCTCAACTTAAAATTGTCTTGCATCAGTACATCTTTAGTCCGCTCTAGCGAGAGCTGTTCCAGCCTCACCTTGTTGTATCTTTTCCAAAAGCGCTCCAGACCCACGTAGTCCAGCATCATCTATAAAATGTTGAAAAGCCTTGATTGGTTGCAAGGAACTACACCTCAACTTTGAGTGTTCAAGACCCTCATCATCATCTTTTAATGACCCCATAATCCTTTCCAGGGTGGAGTCTGGGCCACGGAATGGATCTAGCCGAGTGTTTTAATGGCCGGATGCTCTTCCTATCGCCAATGCAGAGTTTTGTTATATATATTCTCAGTGTGCTCAGAGAGAGAAATATCTGCCTCTACCTAGGATCGAGCTCAAAGCCTCCCGACTGTGAGAGAAGAGCTTCACATCTATGCCGCCACACCACTCCTGAGTGTTCAAGACTACATAAAAACACCAGCGCAGTGTCTGCGGTGTGAAATATGCAATTCCCAAGCCAATTCTAAATTGGGAGATCCTTGAGGGAAATATATAACCACTAGAAAGATGATAAAGACCAGTTCCCTTAGGTGGGTAACAGCCCAATACCAAAATGAAAAGCTGTGCTTGAGACAAATTTGCTCTTGCCAAGGGGAAAGCAAAATACTAAAATGTTAAAAGACCAGAGGCAAATCCTGAACAAATCTTAGAGAGCCAAACTGCACCAAATCCCAATCATATCATCTGAATCAGATTTTCCCCTATGAAAAGCAGATTCATAGGTAATGGAGGATCAGGAAAGAGGGTGAGGTTTAACTGTCTTTTTCTTTTTTTCTTTTCCTAGGATTTCAAGGAAAATCCCTCTGAGCAACTGGTGCCAAACTCAGAAAAAGAAACTCCTAACTTCAACGAGTCTTTGCCTCAAATCTTATCATCCCTCCTGGGAGAGGCACAGTGAATGCCAACCAATAAACTCTGAAGGTGCAGATTAATTTTAACATATGGATAGATTATTCCAAACAGTAAACTGAAGAAATATTTCTTCCATTTGGCAACGAAGAAGACAAAGGTGCATCCCACCCATATCTGAATTCAGATAATTCACCTGAGCAAGTGGTTCAACTGGTTTTTCCAAAGCCAACTTATCAACTGCTTTCTGTTCTTCGTAGTTCAGGGAGTTCGGGTAAAATGGTAGCACCTTCTCTTCCTCAGACTCCAGCCTACGGCACATTTCAGCCAGGCGCAGAATGATCTCTGCCTGCAAAACAGGGAAAAAAGGGATTGGTCCTGGTTTTCGCAAGGTTTTTGGCACAGTGTGTTTACAAAGTGCTGGAGCTTAGCAGTCTTTGACCTATGACAACAATGGAGCTTGCCTATTAGTTATGTGTTGTAATGGTCGTGAAACCATGTAATGGTCTTTTTCTGGTAGTTGGTCAGCGAACACGACAGTTGCAAAGTAAATGCCATGGTTGTTAAGCAAATCAATGCTCTGCTGCCGGCGAGGTTTTGCCAAAAACTGGAAATGCTGGTTTTCAGCGAAACTGTCATGTGACCACAGGCCATTGCAAGCAGCCATAAATGCAGCCATGTTGCCAAGCACACAAAGTTTGGTCTTGGTAGTGACCACAAGGTTGGCCCAACTATCAGAATTTCAAATCCAATTCTAAGTTTCCTTTTTTTTGGATCAGTTGTAACTCTGATTCATCACCAAGCAACCGGTTGTAAGTCGAGGACTACCTGTAATGTAGTAATAAATTAGGAATTATAATTCCTAGGTATCTCTTGGCATTGCATCATCTGTCTGTCTATCTGCATTCTCTTTCTATTTCCTAGGATGTTCATGGACTGGCAATAGTTATCCAAATATTGTATTGTTGTTGTTCAAACAACAACTAATATTAATAGAAACTCAGTTTGTGCAGTGCTTAAGGCACCAGGCTAGAAACTGTAAGACCATGAGTTCTAGTCCCATTTTAGGTACAAAGACAGTTTGGTGACCTTGTCCCAGTCAGTCTCTCTCAGGTCTTGGGAGAAGACAATGGCAACCACCTCTGAAAATCTTGCCAGGAAAACTGCAGGAATTAGTCCAGGCAGTCACTGGGAGTCAATGGTGAAGGCTAAATGCATGACATTATTAATAATTAAATGACCTAGTTCCAGAGAAAGGCCTTGAATTCTTTTTTTTTTAAAGATGAAAACAGATACATTCACACCTAGTGTAGGACCAATGCAAAAGAAAGCCCTTTCTCACAGACCCAACAAATGGGCTTCTTAAAGTGGAGCATCCTTCAGGGGTGGGATTCAAATTTTTTAACAACCGGTTCTGTGGGTGTGGCTTAGCTGGTAGGCATGGCTTAGTGTTCATGTGACTGGCTGGGTGTGGCCAACTCAACATCACTCACATCAAGGCACGCATCTCCTCGCCTGGCTTCTCATGACTGTGGGGATGCTGCAACAGTCGTAAGTGTGAAAAATGGTCATAAGTCACTTTTTTCAGTGCCATTGTAACTTTGAATGGTCACTTCACACAAGCAAAGTACCAGTAAAGGAGGAAAAAAAAAACTCCAGAGAAGTTCCTGAGAATAGGAAGTCCAGTCCTGCCAAGAATGTAATAAGGGTTAATGGAGAGGCAGTTTCTGTAAGCAACACCAGAATGTTTCCTTCCTGCCTTCCTTACAGGATTAGGCCAGTAATTTCTTCTAACAACTGGTTCTCTGAACTGCTTAGAATGTTGACAATCGGTTCTAGCGAATAGGTGAGAACTGGTAGAATCCCACCCCTGGCATCCTTAAAGAGTTTTTTCAGCCAGCCAAAATTTCTGAACTGGCTGATATCAAGATAGAAGTCTCTCAGATAGACTAAGCCATAAGCCAGTTAACATTTTAAAAGTTAAGCCAGTACTTTCAATAATAACCAAAAGTTTCATGATTAGGCTTTCAAAGCTGCTATATTTATGGTTGTTCAATTCCGCTTCATTCAAGCAGGGTAGGCTTTGGAAAGTTATTGTGGTGGGCTGTTATCTTTCTGGCTATCCTTCCATATCTGAAAGTAACTCTCAAGGTGATGAAGACAAGATTAGACATTTGCATCACACATTAATACGTATTTTCCCTTACATGGAATTTTAAGGCTGCTAAATTGCTTATTTAAAGAGAACATATGTCAGTGTGACAAATAAATCTTTGGAAATGTTCATCACAGAAGAACTCTTAAGTGGGAGCAGTTCCTTGGCAAGTCGAGAATATGTGACAGAATTTGTGCTACATAATATCTGTAAAGGTT